GAAGAAAACTTTAATTTGTTTAATATAACTAGTTTGCTGACATTTTGCTTGCGAACGGCGAGGAGCTTAATATTAAACCTACCGAAATTTGCTCGTCCTCTTTACTTTTTTTTTTGTCATCAGGCTTTTTGGCAATTCTATAAATGATTGAGAAGAAAATAAAAGAAAATGGTGAACATTTTTGTATTTTAGTTTGGCGCTCTTCAACGCAAAATGAAGCCGGTCTAGATGCCGGTCTAGATGGGAAAATCTAGACCGTGGTCAATATCGATTTCAGCTAATCAAATTCATGAATTCGGTAGTTCCCAGTCCTTGTGAGACACAGCCATATAATAAACTTTATTATTGCATCTACCACGATGAATAACAACAACCTTTTCCTCGACACAGTCCAAAAATTGTTTTTGATCAAGTTGTCAAGGTTTGGATCACGTGCATTTCACGTGAAGTTTGTCCCAATTGATGGAATTGTGGCATCTATGTTGAGAATTGGGAATGTTAAAGAAAGGGATTGATCAACTCTTCATTACTTCGAATCTTTATTGCAAGGAACGCCCTTGACTTAATTATGTCGTTTGTCAAACACGGTCTCCTCACACAGCACGATCATCCCTATTATGATCAGCATTCCATTCTCATAACCTGCAAGATTGAATTAAGTAATTCTTTAGGGTTAAAAACAATGCATTGTGTGATGCGTAACAGCTTTCGGGAGGGACTTGGGCTGGCATGAGGCAAACCAGCCCAAAGTAACTAGTTCTTGGTAAGTAACTGGTAACAGGAGACGAACACAAATTTATCTTGATCGAAATATCTGATCAAATTAAATTCACTCTTCCGTTTTGCGCTGAAAAAACAAACTGAAACCCTTCTATGCTCAACAAAAAGACATCGATAGCTGCTGCCTGGCTGAATTTGGTGGGTGCGGTATCAGAGCTGTGCCGCCACCTTAAGGGGGGGAAGAGCGAGGCTTGATGTTCAAACTATCAAACAAAATTAAACCAGCTAGCAAGTACAGACCACGGGATTATCTAGCTTCTGACTTAGGGTTGGGATAAAGATAGTCAGTTACCCTCGGTCTCTCAGC